TGTAGACATCTGTCATTTTCATTCAACAGCGACATGTAACAAAGTAGACCCGCGGCTAACGACTACTGTTTGCTTCTCCCCTTCTAATCCTCCTCGACCTCCGTCGGAAACTGCTCCTCGTCTGCTTCAATGTAGCCCTCAGCCTCATTCTCAAAGGCTGCATTCTCCTCGCCCATGCTGCCCGGCTCCTCAATCGACTGGGCAGACGGGCTCCTCTTTGCTCCTCCTCCATGCTTGCCAGCGGGCTTACCACTGGCGCTACGCGGTCGCAGACTCAATGGGGACTTTCCTGGTTGCGGTGAGGCTGTGGCAATCGAGTCCGCGCAGCGTTTCTCACCCTCGCCGGCCTGCTGTGGTTGCTGTTGCTGCTGCAGCTGTCCGGGGGACGAGACTGGCATGAAGGTGGTCGCCTCCTGATACTCCGACGTTTGCTCCGGGCCGCTGTGCACGATACGCAGCAGGGAGCCAATCCAGCGGAACTTGCCCACCAGGCCCTCCTTCATGAGCTCGAAGCACATGGAGAGGAGTGCCAAGCCCACGATGCAGTAAACGCCGCCAAAAAGCAGCTCTTTTATTGTTGAAGGCTTAGTTCACATAGGTGGGGGGAGAGAGAAATACAGGTATTCATTTAAACTTGGGCAACAGGCACAACTTAAAATTGACCTCTAGGAATGGAGCAACGCGGGCGAAGCCACGTAAAATTAACTGAAGTTTTTTTAAGTCGGTATTCAAATGAAGGATATTGTGATAAATTATCGGCGGCAAAACCGTCTTTTAGGGCCGCCTAAATATCTATTCCCCCACCCAACTGTTTTACGTAATTTATGGTCAAACAGTTAATTCTTGCCAATAGAGGTGAAAATGCGAGTTTCAGGAAGCAGTTCAGAAGAAGAAGACGCGACCACTGAAACAAGAGATTTAATTTCCTGACGTTTCGGATTTTGTTGGGAATCCTTAATCATAGGCAATGGTGGCATGCGCATGACTCAGACTATGCTACCATTACCGATGATTAAGGATTCCCGACGGAATCCGAAACGTCAGGAAACTAAAGCTCTAATTGAGTGCATGGTTTACCTTTGACCCCATTCCCATGTACGTGTAATGGTCCGGTGAGAATTTATCGAGGGTTTACGTATGCTCGCCAACTGCTCTTTTGAATTCTCTGACGGAAATTTTGCCACTTTGAACTGCAGGCCTAAGCCGGCCCTTAACTTAAACCTTTATTTCCCTGGAAGCAAGCGCAAAGACACCTGCCTTACAAGCGACTACTGTTCTCATGTCCGGCCGGGGCCATAAATAAGCGTTT